ATGGACTTATGACCCACAGTTCTGGCTGATGGGACATGAAGGGAAGTCTGCTGGAGTCTCCCGGGAGAGAAACATCCTGACTTCAGCAAGCGCATTAGGCCAGCACCTGTGGCCGCCATGTTGCCACCAGCCTGAGATGCAGCCAGCTGGGAAAGAGCCTCCATCCGTCCTTGGGGGATACGTGAGCGGCCAGAGACCTGCCTTGGAGCCTGCCAGACCTCTGGACTTCCCATTCATGGTCATAATTAATTTCCTTTTTCTGGAAACAGGATAAAGTCAGGTTTTCCACGCTTTGCAGCTAAAAACTGATTCAGAGCTGTGCAACCTTGAACAAGTTGTTAAACTTCTCTGTGGCTCAGTTTTCCTTCTGCATTAAATAGAGATCATAATAACTCTTACCTCTCGGGGTTAAGGAGGATTCAATAAGAATAATGCAGGGAAAGGTCTTAACAAATGCAGCTTTTATAACTTACATAGTGCCTCATTTTATCCTTACAAACAACCCAATGAGGTAAGAAATAGGTAGTTATTAGCCCCGTTGAACAGCAGAGGAAACCAAGGCACAGAGACATTAAGCATTTCCCCCAAATCACACAGCTAGTGAGTGCCTATCCCCAGTGCCCCAGCTCCTTCCCTCCACCCCATTCCAGCCCTGAGGTTCCAGGACCCTGTGACTGGCCGGAGCCTGTACCATTGGTAACCTGCAGCAAAGGGCAGTGGGAAAATCAGAGCTCTGGAGGGAGCGGAAATGAAGAGTGACTGCTAATGGGTAAGAGTTTCTTTTGGGGGTGATGAAAATGCTTTGTAATTTGATAGAGGTGGTGGTTGCACAACCTTGTGAATATACTAAAAACCACTGAATTGTATGCCTTACAATGGTGGATTTTATGATATGTGTATTATATCTCAATTTAAAAAAATCAAAGAACTACAGGAAACCACCTTGCAAGGAAAACTGTCCCCTATCCCGCCTGTCCTCAGGAGCACAGCCCTCCTCCCCGTCACTCCCATCCACCCTGATCACCGCTCCCTCCCTGGGCAGAGGCCAACCTCTCTGCCTTGCAGGGTTCAGCAACTCTTCTGGGACTCAGCTGGGATGACTCCAACCTCCAACCAGGCTGGCACTGGCCTCTCCCCAGACACCCTGCTCTTTAGTCACACAAGAACATGAGCGGGGTCTGCACTGCAGGTCACCAGCTGTGTCTTCACTTTTCCCCTAGATGCTCTGAAGCTGGCTGGCCAATGCTAACGGGCCAGGCGACTCCCAAGGGCCAGGCGTCCTAAGCCAGCTGCAGGCAGAGGGCTTGTTGGTGTCCCCTCCCCACCCCTGCCCCCAGTGGAGAAGTAGTTGCAAGGGATTCTGCAATAAATGCCAGGAAATGGCACCTGACAATCTGCAGCCACACTGGCCCTGGGCAGGAGTCACAGTCCCAGCTTATCAGGAGGGC